TATATATATATATATATATATATATATATATATATATATAAAATTAAAATGCAAGAACTTTTTGTAGTCAGTATATTTTATTAATTCACCCACCACCGGCAGGTGTGGCAAATAAAAAACATTTTAGATCCTTTTTAGGCATAATAAAAACAATAATACCTTTCTCATTTAAATATATGGCATTTCTTGTTTTGTAAACTCCACTTCCACATTTTTGCATTCCCTGAAAATCACCAACGCAAAAGATTCAGAGCTTAATTTTGAGGGCTGCCCCGTTTAACCTGAGTCAGAGCGATCTAGCCTGAAGCTTAACCTGAAAGAAAATACAGCCTGGAACAAAAGCATCACGATTTTCTCTCATACGCTTTGGCATTCAAGTTGCTTTCTGTTCTCTAGGGAGAAAACAGACGGGCTGCTCTTTCACTGCTGCTGGAAGGCTAGAACAGAGACAACACACGTCATGTTTCCCAAAGGAGGATAAACAGCGTTAGCTACTCTGTAAGGAAACAGCTAATGTTAAATGTAACAATAGTTCTTAACTTGTGGGCCAAGAATAACAGGAAAAAATGCTAAATGCAAATAATAAAATGCAATAATCATAGATATGGGTAGGACAGCAAAATAAAAGTTGATCAACTTTTAAAATGGTTGCCATTATAATTTTGATTCCCATATATTTTGATGTGAAAGGTTCTGACCAAAAACAAAAAAACAAACAAAAACGTCCCGGTTACGTATGGTAACACTCGTTCCCTGAAGGAGGGAACGGAGACGTCACGTCCTGACCGACGAATTGGAATTGGGATATCGCTTCGATAGACCAATCTACTTCGAGTGTAAACTAAACGAGCCAATGCACATTGGCATGCAATTATTGCATCCAGCTGCCGCTGATCACAGCGTGAGTATAATAAGGCAGCAGGTGCAATGCATACCAGGTTTTCGCTGAGGAGCCGAGCCGGCGACCCGGCCGCTCAGCGGTGGTACAGCAACCGTGGCGACGGGACGTGATGTCTCCGTTCCCTCCTTCAGGGAACGAGGGTTACCATACGTAACCGAGACGTTCCCTTTCAGTCGGTCACTACGAGTCACGCCGTGAGTGACGAATTGGGATCCCAACCAAAGCGCCATGGTGCTGCCCCTTCCAGTACCCTGTGCGAGCCGCCTGCGCCCTTATCTGGTGTAGGCTGGGGCTCGGGACAAGTAGTTCCACTCACCATTTTTCAAAGCACTACCTTACTAAGTGAGACTGGATAACACTGGGAAAACGTACCCGCTCCACTTGGAACAGGGGCGCTACGGAAGCCCCATCCTTCCCGAAGGAGGTTTCGGAAGCAAATACACATATAGCATCCG